TTCCCATTCTCTGTCCCTTGGTCTCTTTCCTTAAGCCCCCTGGGAGCACTTCTGTTGTGCTTTTCAGCCAAGATCTTCCTGGAGTCTCTCAGGCCAAAATGGTAGCCTAGGCCAACCTGACTGCCTTGCAAAGGAAGCACTTTACCATCTTGACTCACTGCTGTGAAACCCCTCTCTTTTAGGAGCCCTCTGACATGGGTTTCTTACTATAGAAGCCAGATTTTATTTCAAAAATTCATTGCCCTACATTTTTTCTACAAAAAATAATTCCAATTCCACGTGTTCTTTCTTTTCTAATTCGTGGACTTTCTTTCCTTCCTGCATTTTTTCAGCATTTAACAAGGTGATCACTGATGAGAGTGAGGATAGTGGCAATAGTACGTTTAGTTCCAGGTTCTGTTACAGCAGAAGGTAGATGCTCAGTGAATACGGTAGCCTGGTGTAGTCCTGGCACCCAGAGCTTCTCGGGCTGTGGCGCGGGAGCCCCTGCATTGTCTGGATGGGGCAAAGGCGTGTGCATGTAGGTCAGCTCTCCGCAGTTGCTAAGCTATCAGCTCATTACTTCCCAGGTCTGTTGGAGTAGCTTTTATCATTCTACGGAGCTGGCTTGACACTCTCTCTGCACACTTGTATTTTTAATGAGTTACTAAAAAATGCTGATGCCTGTGGAGAGAGATGGGGATTCAGGCTGGTTTGGTGATCCAGAGTCTTGAGGTCAGCATCTTCACTGGATGGTTCTGGAAGGATACACTTGTGCTCTGGGGCTGTACCTTTGTCTGTTGGCTTGGTATCGACTTGAGGACAGGCTACATCTGCACTGGCACAAAGGCGATGGGCTTCTGTGTTTTTCTCTGGTGATTTTAAAGCTTCTGCTGCTTCCATGCAGGGCATGTATTTATGGAGCTGACCTACTGAGTGTCCACTTTAAAGTGTTAGCCAGTAGCTGGGAGCCTTTGGGAGTCCTCCCTGCAGATGAGGCATGTGTCATGGCATTCCAACTTGCCCTGTAAGGCCTTTGTCCAACAGAGCTATAAAAAGATGGCAGTGTTTCTCTAGGCTACCCATCATAAGCTAGAAAACTTTTCCTAGAGGAATAAATCGATTTCCAGATAATTCTTGAGTTTACTAACAATCCAGAATATCTCTCTGTCTCTCTGTCTCTCTCTGTCTCTCTCTCAAGGAATCTCATGGCTTTTCTGAATCTTTTACCATGAAAGCCCTCCTTCCCACTGTCTAGAGGAATCCTGTTCAGCAATAAAAGTCTCAGTCCACCTAGTGTGAAACCTTCCCTAAAATCTCTAAGTCGTGTGCCCCAGCATGTCTCCAATGTTGCATACACTTGAGTTTTATGCAGAGTGGTTCTGGGTGAGTCTCTCTGCATGAGTCTCTGCTTCGGACTAGAAGCTAGTCAAGAACTCTGGAGACTTTTGTATTCAACTTTGGATTTGCTCCCTTGCCCCTGCCCTCTGAATGAGGTGTGTGGGGCCTAAGTTAGATGTAAAACTATCCTGCTGCTTTGAAGTGGCACTTCCCTTCTAAAAATCCAGTGTTCTTGCTCAACGAAAACATAAGGAAGTGCTGAATTTCGTGTCCTTAGTTTTGTGGCAACTTTCTTGAGATGCACGTATTTCTGAAGTCAGGTGAATGTTCCCTTCTTAAAGGTCTCTAGTGACATCCTGCGGCTTTCTCTATTCAGTCGCGTCAGCGTCTTCCTAGGCCCTGGGGTGTGAGTTTCCTAGCAGAGTGCCAGTGGTATTTCACTGTGTGGGGTCAAGTCTGATAGTTTCTCTGTAGCTGTATTTCGGGAAACATAAAGACATTTGACTTGGGAAATGAGGAACATTGCAAATTTCATCACCATTCAGAAATATTTGCTGCTCTTTCCTGGGGAGGAATAAGACATTCTCTATCTGACCACAGGAGGGCTGCCCAGAAGACTCATCCTGGCCAATGAAATGTGGCAGGAAATGTGTGTGGCCTTTCCACCAACACTGTTGCTGACAGAGCTCAGGGGATCTGTAGCAAAGAAGAAAAAGAAATCTTTGTTGTAAACTATAGAGAGATGGAGGCTCTTTGGTACTGCAGCATAGTCCAACCTATAGCAAGCGATGGGCATAACTAGGGAGAGTGAGGCAGAGAGAGGGAGCACAACCCCTCGGCAAGGGCACCGGAGTCACAGTCCAGGAGTAAATCTTGAAGTTGCTTTGGTAAAGATATGAGGCCACCAGGAGATTTCAAACTAAGATTCAGTAAGTGTTGACTATTTTGTATATTAAACTCAATTAAAGAATCGAATCACTGCCCCTAGTTTTACCCATGTGGTCCATGGATACAGTGGCTTGAAGCCTGAGATGGTGAAGACTCTTTCCTTGGTAACGCAGCGTGTGAAAAATTCATTCTTTGCCCAAACTCTGCCTTGAAAGGCTTACTAAAGATGACCTTTCCTTGATGATAATAATAATAATTACACTTTTATTAGAAAGAAAGTAGGATAAGAAGGTGATCATCTACATTTGGAAGGAAAAAGGTGGGAGGATTACGGCAGGTGTGGTGCTAGCCTGATACCTCGGGATCTGGGTGAGGAAAAGCCGGGCTTAAAAACAGGCGGGAATCAACAGACGCAGCACACGTGGACCAGTGTTTTGAGGCAGATTCTCTGGCTACAAAGCAATATGCATAGCGCAGAGACATGGTGGAAAAGAAAACTGAGGTTGATTTGAGAAATCATGGTGAAACTAAAATGTCCAGGTGAAGACATTGGTGTGCGGGAGGCGAGGAGCCGTGAAGGGGCGGATGGGTAGGTTCTTGTTGTTAGCTCTCCCCAGCCTACAAACAAGTTTTTTAAAGTCACAAGGAGAAAAATGAAATGGTTAGATGTAGTAACATGCAAAAAGTTAAGCACCTGTATGTCTGCTACTTAAACCCATTCTAAGTTTTAAAGTAAGCAACTGAGAACATACTTGTAAGCAACAGAAGCAAGGTTTAGTACATAAAGTACTAAAATGGAAAGGTAAGGACTATAATAGGGAAGACAGAAAAATGAAGTAAGTTTGAGATAATTCACAAGATTAAATACAGAGGAAAATATATAGGTGATACTCAGTTAAATAAATGAATTGAAAAATGGATTATTTTCAAGAAAATTAGCAAAAGTGGTGTTGTATACCTTCTAACGTGTTCTAGGTACTTTTATAAGATGAAGACAGTGTACTTGGTATGATTCTCTTGCAAAATAATTTGACAGTAGACATAAAAGCCTTAAACACTGTCCTCATAAGTCATCTTTTGGCATAATTATTTGGAAAACATGCAACTAAATACAGCAAAAAAGTTCTGATAAATGGTATTTATAGTTCTATAAAAGTAGAAATGACATGTCTATAACACTCAAGAAATAGGATTAATAAACAATAGATTTCAATTATATATATAAATATTTGATGGGAAATTGGAAATAAATTAAAATTGAGTTTATACATAATTTGGTACAACTATGATGACAATGTTACATAAATTTGAACGGAGCCCCACAAAAGAAACTGTACCCCTGCACACAAGAAAAGATGGGAGGAAATCCCCCAGGCTGTCAGCTTTAATTGCTGTGTTTACCAGGTGATTTTCTTTTATATAATTCCAATTGAGAATGTGGTTGATAATAAAATAGAAAGCCAGGGGACAAAATTGCTCATCTTTTATAATTAAGATAACAGTCATGTGAATGAAGCCACTTGCTAAAGAAAATCGCTCATCTTTTATAATTAAGATAATAGTCATGTGAGTGAAGCCACTTGCTAAAGAACAGCACGCAGGAACCGAGGCAGAGAGGAACCTGAACATCCAGTCTGGGAAGTGCATGCATTTGGGTGACAACAGGAAAGTAGGCACCTGTCCGTCTCTGAGCAGGAGCAGCCCACAAAGGCAGGGTCTCTGGAATCTTGGAGCTGTTGGGTCTCAGGAGAGGCAGCCTCTGTCTGTGAAGAGGGGGGGTGGGGTAAGGAGGGTGGGATGAGGGTGGGCCTTGGGTCTCATGGGCTGGACTTCGGGCGGCCGCACTAGTGTCCAGGAGATGAAGACCCAAGAGGACCGGAACCACCAACAGGGTCTGTTGGAATGGAGAGACGAGAAGGGAGGCTGTGTTTGCCCCATGCCAGGAAAAGCAATATGAAGTGGCATAGGTAAATATTTCCTTAAATGTGGGACAATAAACCAATGCACTTCTCATGCTCAATGGCCACACTGGTGTAGTGGAATGGACAGCCTTGAGGCTGCCCATTGGAAGCCCACAAGCAGACGGCCAGCCACTTCCCTTGAGCACCCTTCACACCTCTCTGTGGTCAGAGCAGAGCATCCCTGTGGACGCTGAACCTGTTTTCCTGCCTTCTGGTTCTTAGACTGCCCTCGAGCCACCTCAGTTGGCTGTGGGCAGTGATGTTTTAGAGACCGAGGGCCCAGACTGCAACCTAGCCTAGCTTATGTATCACAGAGTGCCCGTGCCTCAACTAGAGCTCAATACTGAGGCTTTAGTTTAGAAAGAACAACTGTGGCCCGATGCTTGGACATTTGGTTCACCTGACTCGTACACCATAGCTTGTACACCACTGCTGGTTCTCTGGCCAACCTCTGCACTCAGAACCCTCCCACATGGGCAGAGGGGATGACTGGGGGAGGCTCCAGGCCAGGAAAGTCTGGAGTCAAATCCCTCCTGCTGCGAAGGGAGCAGTCATCCATGAAGGAGAAACAAGGCATTTGGCATCCTCAGCATTCTCACCTAAACATTTACCCAGGGCCTCCCCAGGAATCGCTCTCCACTGAGGATTTTGCCCCAGAAGCATACATTCATCATTATGTTTTACAAATAGACAAGCATACACCTCCTCTGCACTGCCAGACGCCCAGGAGCAGACAGGGACACACCCAGGCTGCGGGCTGTCCCTGCTCTCGGGCTCCCCAAGGTGTGTGCTGTGCGTCTCCCCAGCAATGACCTCCTCTCTTTGCCACAGGTGCCTACCCTCGACTGTCGCTGAGCTTCCGGTTGAAGAGAAACATCGGCTACTTCATTCTGCAGACCTATATGCCCTCCATACTGATCACCATTCTCTCATGGGTGTCCTTTTGGATCAATTATGATGCATCAGCAGCTCGAGTTGCCCTCGGTATGTGGAACCTTCAAGTGGTCCTGAAATGTAAGGTGACCCTGTCATTAAACTCAAGGGAGTCTACAGGTTCAACTCCAGTGTCCTGACACCGTGACACCAGCCTTGCCCACATAGTTCTTTTTATCTTGGGACACTGATTTCATGCACAATTCCCTTGATGTGTTAATTTAATTGTAAGGCTCAAATGTGAATTTCCATGCTGCCCAGGAAAGGGAAAGTATGTTGCAGTATATTTGCATAATACAACCATTTTCGACACTAATTTTAAAGCAAGGATTAACATCTTTTGCTCAAAATTATTCCATGGCCCAGAAAGACTTGATTAATTGGGCATTCTTCTTTTTTAAGTCAGAAAAATAGCCAAATATTACAGAATATGATTGGAATTACACAATTTAATGAGCATTGAAATAGGCAATTAGATTCGGAGCAGTTCCGGAGAGCCGCAGTGATCTTTGCTGACCATTAGGTACTTGACAAGGGGATTATTAGCTGATAAACAGTGCAGCTTCTAGATTTCAGTATTGTTTTTGGTACTTCATTATGAAGGAAAGGCTTATATTCTTAGGAAAATTATCTAGATAATTATTGTGAAAATTCATGAACAAAATAATAGCTCGAATACATTTTAGGTAAATACAGAGATAATGAGCAATTACAACCCATCCATTCTCAGGTTTATTTTGACTCCTAAAACTGTGGTTAACTATAGGTATTTTAAAAACTGATGGAAAAGCATGACCAACACACTTGCTTGGGAAGTTCCCGTGTCCCAGTTATGCCCACTTGCCTTCTGCTCCGTCACCAACTCCCCAGGGCTTTAATTTTCTTTTCTAAGAGGACATGTGCTGGTGGATGTCCAGTTTAGATCTGAGTGTGTTACTTGCCTTCAGGATTAGATTTTCCCAGGAAATGACACAAAACTATCAGTTGAAGAAAAAAATCAACTGACTATCCCTAAAGATACTAGGTGAATAAAAAAAGAACTTTGTAAAGAATAGCATATAAAAAACCAAGAAATTCTGTATTGGTGTGTATTTCTTTTTATTAGAATGTGTTTGCATAATATTTGTGCTCCTTTTTTGGAGGTGGTATATATGTAAGCATTTTAATCACTTTTTCATCCCCTCCTCTCCCCGTCTCTTGATCCCTTCCCATCTGAGAAAGACCCTCTCCTTGTCTCCCAACTTCCCTTTACCTGTCTCCTGTTCCACTCTTCATTTGTAATTTGGGTTTCTCACATAAGAGAAGCCATGTGACACTTAAGCTTGCATCTGTGATTTACTTCACTGACCCTTAGGGTCTTAGAGTGTCCCTTTTCCTCCAAATGACAAATATATCTTTCTTTATGATAGAGTAGTACTCCACTGTTTGTAAATACCACATTTGCCTTATCCATTCAAGAAAGAACGTTCAGCTGGGCATGGCGATATACGTCTGTAATCCCAGCCCTTGAGAGGCTGAGGCAGGAGGATTCCTGTGAATTGGAGGCCAGCCTGGGCTACAGCATGCGTTCAAGGCCAGTCTGAACTGCATAGTGAGGCTTTGACCCTCCATCCTCCCAAAAAAAGGAAGAAAAAAAAAATACGATCATGAAGAAATCAAGTAATAATAAGTGCTGGTGAAACTGAGAGGGGAAAAATCTCTTCCACATTGTGGTGGGGATGTAAACTAAGACAACCACTATAGAAATCAATATGGAGAACCCTCAAAGAGCTAAAAGTAGCAATTCCATTCATCCTTTCATCCCAGGTATGCTCTTCCAGGTATGCTCCCAAAGAGCTAAAGACATGTTACAGTGAACCTTGCCTATCCATGTTTACAGAAGCACCTTTCATAATGGCCAAACATTTATAACATAAATCTTGGAAGGAACCTGTATACTATTTATTTCTGATGGATACGGAAGACAAAATTGTTTTTAAAAATAACTAAAATTTCCCTATAGGTTTTGCATTTTTTGCTTTTTAATATTACTAGATTATTCTTTGTTAAACTATTTTCTTCTCACCTGAAAAATTGACAGATGCCAAACATTTATGGAGTGGATCCAAATTTCATGGCACTGTTAAACTATTTTTTAAGAAAAATTAAACACAGTATTTTGGGGAGCCATCCCTAAACCTGTGCAAATGAGTCTTGAAGATGAGATTTCATGAGCTTTAATGTGAATCTACTGTAGAGAATTTGTCATTAATGCAATCGTTAGAAAAATATCAGTACCAAAGTCATGAGTACCCAGCATCACAAGGGGTGAAGGGTGTGGAAAACGTGAAACTGAATTCCTCAGCAACTGCCAGTTCCGGGCACCCTGGATCGCAGAGCATTGTCTTCCACTATGCGACACAGATAATCTCACAGAAGTGGTTCATATTCAGCCTCACTGCAGTGTATGCACCGCAGACTCGCCGTGTTCTAAGTGATGCAGCGTTTTTAGGATGAGCCAGTGTCGTGGTCACTTGGCTTTCCTGGAAGGAAGGACTCATGTGGTCAGGGTCCGTCCGGTCTCATGATGGGGGTCGGTCAGGCTCCGGTCACTGTTAAAGGCCTGGAGTAGGGGCGACGGGCAGAAGTAGCGGTCATACACATGAGTCAGGTGAACTGGGGGCTGGCCAGTCTGGAAGACAGTGCCCATCTGAGGACCGTGGGCTCTGCCAGTGTTCTCTCCCGAAGCATGAGAAAACCTGGCTCCAACTCTGGGTTAACTCAGTGTAGAATATTATCTTTAAAGGATTGTCCTCAAACCCTGAAAGTGATGAATAATATCATTTAAACTTTATTATTTGTGTTAGAAGCAAGAAAAATATAGTGTGCTGATTATATGATGCAAATAAGTGATATTTTCTCTTTCATGGTCATCTTTATAAATGTAGTGTTCAAATATATTTCATTAGCGTAATTAAATAAGCAGTGAGTGGAGGCTGACAATTAGTAAAGAACCCCAGCAGCTGGTGACTACAGAGAACGTGAAACCAGAGCTGTTGTCGTCTGCATTCGGGCCTTTTGCTTTGGAGAGGGTGAGTCGCCGTGCAGCCAGTAATCTGAAGGCTACTGGGTGATCGTTCTCCGAAACGTTGGATTTAAGGCTGGCTGCCACTTGTTAGCACTTGAGGCATTGTGTTTAGATTTTACAACCGCGGCACAGGACTAAAGACAGAGCTCGGCTTGGGCCTGAACTCACGCAGGAACTCTCCTGTCCAGCTGCTGACTGCCACAGGGCAGTACACAGCCGCCCACAGTACCCTCGAGGGAGGGGAAGGGACAGGAGGGGCGGCAAGCCGGCAGCACCGCGGCTGTAATCACAGGGCAATCCGCTGAGTGCTAAGGCTGGGGAAGGCAGAAAGAAAAGCAGTGTCCGTAGGTGAAAGTTTTCTAAGTTTAATAGCATGTCACCAGCACCTGCTGAGCTCTGATGAAGCTTCTCACAGTGGCCTCGCGTGGCTGAAGGCATCATAGTGGTGGAGTATGTGATGGGGAAAGACCACTCGGCAATGCAGAAGCCACAGAGCCCAAGGAGTCTGTGTCACTCTTAGAATTCACTCTCTTGGAAGAACTGACTGTGTCCCAGACAGCTACTGAATGCTTCGGAAGGCGCAGACCAAGTAGCCTAACTGTCTGCCACTAGGTCCTTTTCTCAAATGCTCCACCAGCCCTCAAAACTGAGCCTCTGGAGACACAGAACAGCAGACCCTAACATCATGACGTCCCCGCCCATGCCTGTGCCAGCGGGCCTGCAGCCAGGGTCCTGCCCGTGCTCCTCAGGGCCTCACTGCCCAGGTGGAGAGTGAGAGGAACTCCTGTCCCAGCCCTTCCCCTGAGCGCCAGCTGAGATCTGCATGGGCCTGTCCCAAACGGCGGCAGCTGTCCTCCAAAGCACAGCATTCAGGCTCCCAAATCCTCTGACAGGGTACAAAATAAATAGCAGTGACGGCAGCATGATAGAATTTCTGAATAACAGTGAGAAAGCCTAATTTTGTAGCATTAGCCTGGTGTCGTCACACTGACTTATAACTACAATTATCCCACTGCCATGTGCAAATTTTCAGAAGTCTCCAGGTGCACATGAATGTGATGTTAAAGAAGGATCCTAAAATACTCCGGCGTCTTAGATTTCCATACATTCCGTAAGCAATTGCGCCTCACAGTTAGATGTAAAAATAGCTTCTCGGCTCTTCAGGGCTCCTCTATGCTGCTCTGTAGTAGCGAGCGAGCCGTGCAGAGCTCACTGGAGGGAGCACACGTGCTAGACATGTGGGTTTGGCTTTCTTCCCTGCGCTCAGTGCAGAGCAGAGCAGAGTGCCACAGCCTGGGGCTGAACCCTGCCTCTGAGGACAGGGTGGGAACTCACAGCACAGTAGTTACCTTTCTGCTGAGGAGGAGCAGCCTGAGCTTTGCCCACCAGCACTGCTTCACGGAGCACCCCAGTTCAAGGCATACATCTGCTGTTCTCCGGAGCCTCAGGTTATACAACACGGGAGCTTTGTGAAGCTGTGTCTGTGGCTAGGGGAAGAGGAGCTGGAAAACGCCATCATTACCTGGTTAAAAAGTAACCTGATCATCATAGAGAAGCAGTGAGATCTTTCACAAAATACTACAGGAAGAATTCAACAAAACAACAAGAAACAGTTACAAGGAGCTGATTGGTTATGCGGAGTAGGATGAGGTTCCACAGCAACACCATTGTTCCTTGACTACACCAACCACTTCTGAGGGCACAGTGCTTTCTCAGTAGAGTGAGGAACTTGCCCTGTGAGGTGATCACTTGAAGTGCTCCTACCCAACTGCTCCTTTGAGCTCAGGACTGGACTTCATATTTAGTAATTTAAAAACTCACTGCCTTGCCCTTGTATCCAGGGCAGACCGCCTTCTCCTGAGCAGTCTCCCTGAGCTGGGCTCCTGCTTAGTAAGGACTTCCTCCTCCTGGACAGCCTCCCAGAGCTGCTGCCCAGGGCTCCTCCCTCCAGCCCAGACCACACCCAGGGTTTCTCCCTGAAGCTCCTCACCAGACGCTCAGGGCTGCCCGCTGTCTGTTCCTTTCTTTTCCCTTTCCCCGCCCTGTCTCTCCTTTGCTCTCTGAACCCCATTCCCTGTTGCCCAGGACTGGTGAGCCTGATGCTTGCACATGGAGCTGTCTGCCTTCCAAAGTGTTACTACCCTCTGTGGTGACACATGGTGTGCCCTACCGTGTTCCTGTTGCCCAGAGATATTCAGTCCTTGATCCCTGAGTGCTTTAAGCTATTGGGGAAAGTACAAAACAAAAGGAAAATGGAGAACAAGTATAGCAAAGATGCAGCCCTGTTCACCCTCTGCTTGCTTCCTAGGAATCACAACTGTGCTGACCATGACCACCATCAACACACACCTTCGGGAGACCTTACCCAAAATCCCCTACGTCAAAGCCATTGACATGTACCTCATGGGCTGCTTCGTCTTCGTGTTCCTGGCCCTTCTGGAGTATGCCTTTGTCAACTACATTTTCTTTGGAAGAGGCCCTCAAAGGCAGAAGAAGCTTGCTGAGAAGACAGCCAAGGCAAAGAATGATCGTTCCAAGAGCGAAAGCAGCCGGGTAGGCACCTCCCCATGCCCTGCAGCAGCGCATGGGCACTGCATGCACCTGTGTGCCCCCTTCAGCAGGACACGGAAGGCCTGCTGAGGTATCCCCCTGTGCGAGCCAGTTGGTTCCTATGGAAACGTGAGTGCAGGTGTGGGTGAAGCCAAACCCTTCCCACTTTCTTCTAGAAAGAACAGAACAAGTGGCCCTGGAATGAATGAAATTTGGGTGGTGGGTGCACACTTATAAAACCAGCACTCTGAAGCAGCAGGAGCACAAGTTTGAGCCCAACCTGGGCAACACAGTGAGACCTGTCTCAAAATAAGACATAAATAGGGGCTGACATGCAGCTCAGTGTGCATGAAGGTCTGGGTTCAACTTCCAGTATTGCACACACACACACACACACACACACACACACACACACACACACACGAAGTAGAAATAGAGACAGAGAGAGAGAGACTGTGGAGAGTGGTGGCCAAACGTGACCCATACATGCATCGAGGCATTCAACGTTTTCCAAAACGTGTCAGTATTCTTTTCGTTGCAGAATTAGCATTTTGCTCATCAAGCTCGGTGCCACTCTGCAGCAGAGGTGGCAGACAGCTCGCCTGCCACCCCTGCTGCCCACGATATCCTGGGGAAAATCCAGCCCACGCAAGGGCAACCCAGGCAGAAGCGGTAACGGCTCAAGGGCACTCGCACATCTGCCTGTGCTCACCATACTCTCCCATGTGTGTCCCCCAACAGCCGCGGCTGAGAGCACTCAGCCTCAGGAAGCCCCGGATGCCCACTGGTGGCCAGAGAGCAAGGGCAGTGAGCAGACCCTCCACCCACAGCCCGTCCTGCACGCAGTCACACCCTTCGCTGCATGCCACTTCAGTTTATCGTCAATGAAAGCAATGCTTTATTATAATTGTAGACAGCACCTTAAGGGAATGATAGTTTCTGTATAATTTTCCTAATTTATCCTTCCGACTCTTAATCTCTACCTATCTACCGATTGGTTCTGTTTCCTCAATTCCTTGGTGCTTTAGATTCTGCTCATTGAAACCACTCCTGACTCCAGGCGGTGGAGGTTTCGCCCTGGGCGCTGTCAAGGGTCTGCCTGTCTCAGAGCAGCAAGCTCCTTAGGTTTCCTGCCTGTAGCAGCCCAGAATAGGTCCCAGCCACTCATGAATGAGTGGGGCCTGATAAATAAATGTAAATGGCTCCCCTTCTGCTCAGCAAAACATAAATAGAGTTGGTCAGAAAAACCCAGGATCTGTGAATAAAACCAGGCTTGCCACAGGCAAAATTATCTTGAATTTCTTCTTGGAAAATATATTCAGTACCATACTGTTCTGTTTCTAAAGAGGTCCACATCCTACTATATGAATGCACAATATGCCTTGGCTGTGCTGTTGCCAAGGAAACTAGAATTCATCACATCGTTATTATTTCTGTGGCAGAGGCACGTGGAAGTTCACGTGCACACACATGCACACACACGTACACACACATGCACAAACACACGATGCTATCTTTGCAAATTCCCGCAGTCTGTGAGTTTGCTTCCTTTCTTTTAAATGAGACTGTTTAGAAGTGTCAAACTGTTGTTATAGGAATATCTGAGTATAAAGCATAATTCAAGCTAAAAGAAAAAATAAGCACTGTAACATCCATAGAGAAAATGAGCAGACTACAGAAAGAATATATTATAAATCGAATGCACGAAAAATGTTCAGTTGATGCATGAGTCCATTTTTATTGCTGATATTTCTAAAAATTTGTTTCTCTTTTGTCCCAGCAATTTTGGTAAAGCTTTCTTAGGTTTGTACTTTTAAAAAATCTACAATTGTAGACCAGTCCTCTAAGTTTAAAAATCAATATGCAAAGGGCTACTTTGGTACTAATTTTGAAATCATATTTGATGTCCTAAAAGATAAGCACTAAAAAGTTGTTCCTGCAGCTGGGGTTGGAGCTCAGTGGTAGTGCATTTGCCTAGCAAGCTTGGGGTGCTGGGTTCCATCCCCAGTGATGAAACAGTTTCTAAAACTTTCTGACTGCATCTAAGAAGTCAGAAATAATTATTAAGTATAAATGAACTTCCCCAAATTTTATATCAAATGAGGAAATAAGTTCAAGCAAAATGAAAAAGGAAAGTAATCACAAGATTCTTGCAGAACAGAAATCGCAGGACAACTTCAGGGGTTCCCTCAACTGACGCACTCATTGGTCTGCAATCGAGGGGCTATGGGGTGCTCTCCTGGATGGCCGACCAGCCTGAGTCCCCCGACATCTTGTCTGCAGCAGGGACTTGGCTTGTCATTGCCTTTCTGAGACCACTGTCTGTGTCAGGGGAAGGAAGGTCAGAGGAAGTCAGCTCCTCGGGGACATTGTGGAAGGACCTGAGTCACTAACTGAGATGCTTCTAGGAAATGGGCATATTGATTCTACCGTACACTGTGAGTTTATTTTCCTTAGTGTTCATGTAATATTTTAACTTAGTACTTGAGTCATGAATGCTCGCGAGTCTCACACATATTCACTCCATTCCCTCTCAGATCAGTGGTAGAGTGTCAGTTCTGATTGTACTTGTGCACACTGCCTATCTGTTCCGTTTCTCTACCCGGGGGTCTTTGGTTGCACCACACACATTAGAGTTATAAGCCTTGCAGTGCTGTGAGTTGATCAGTTGGTGTATAATATCACGAGGCATCAGAAAGGCCTAATTCTTGCTGAGGATTCCGAGTTCAGGGTCACTAGCCTTTTATAAAGAGCCAGATTTCATTCGGTGCATTACAGATTCTTTCTCATTCTTCTAAAACTAGAATCTTTTACTTAATCAGAGTTGGAAGGTAGATAGAAAATGAGACAGCCACTAAGTACCAACATGGTGACATAGCTAGGGAAATCCAAGGGTCCTTCTGTGATGTATTGTAGGTGAGATGCTGGTAGGTTTTGATGGTTTCTACCTGTTGAGGTTGTAGTGCAGGAAGAAAAACTACATTGAAACTCATTATCCTAATTATAGTAGAGACAAGAAGAACCTTTGGAAATAAAAAGCGTTCATGAAATAATTTGAAAACGGCAAGTCAGCTGTCATTCTGTGCAAGTGCATTTCAGCCTAATAGTTCACCCACATTTTTTTCTGCTTTAAAGCTTACATTCCAGATCATAGAAAAAATGTGACATTTCTTTTGCTAAAAATGGTTTAAAATATTTCATTTCTAAGATTTCACAGATTTTAATAACCCTTACTCCTTTGAGGAAAAAACTACTGATAATTTTGATATAAATTTTCTAGATGTTGCTTCACGTTTAGATGAAGTCCAAGTGAATGTAAAATTCGTAAGGAAAGCAGATGATCTCTTGCTACAACAGGATCTTATTTATTGATCTATTATATATTTCAGTCCCTTTGAGCATGCTAATAGATGCTACCGGAATTGTTGTTTCCATAAGAAGTGTTTGCCCCCTCGGAACTAAGAATAATGTAGAATTTTGCTGGCCCAAGTCCTTCCTTGCAGGATCTTTTTCCCGGGACAGTTATAAGCAAGTCATAAGCGTCTGAAGCACCTCAGAGCATGTTAGCCTTGTGAATTATTAATGACATTCACAGAAGATCAGGCATGATTTCCCTCAGACTCAGTGTCTTGCACTAGATTTCAAAATCAGAGGCCTTGGCTCCCGCACCCACATACAGCAGGGAAGACCAGCCACCAGATCATGAAATTTTGTCCCTAAATCTTGAAGATTCAACTCAGTATCAGTGGCCACAGTTCTTGTCTCTTCCTCACCTCCTTGCATGTTCTATCTCTTCTGAATCCATGTTCCCGCTCTCTCTACCTAGAGTTCTTTCTTCGTGCTCAGTGCCTTCCCCCCTTCAAGCCCCTGGGGGTGCTGTGTTCCCCCGCTCTTCTCCCCCACTGGTCTGCACCCTGCCTGGTTGCTCCCTAACCTAGAGAGCTGGTTTTGTTCCTGTTCTCCCAGGATACACACTGTGTGCTTGTGGAGTAGCCAATCACTTGCATACCCCTTGTCCCCCAAGCCTTCCCCTGCTAGTATACTGCACTGGGATGTGACAGATGCTTGAGTCATGTGTCACATCCAGGTCCCACTTTCTCAGTATGAGAAGAGAAAAAGCTCACCAACACCACACTTTTAAAGCCAGTGCAGCTAAGTCATTAGAACCATGACCCCGCTAAGAATATCCATTTCTTTCCTTGTTATTTTGTTCCACAAAATTGTTGGTTTGAATCCCTTAACAGGTAAAAGAAGCTTTTTATATGGTATTTTTGATAACCAGGAACGAGATGAGATGACCTTTTAAAACTGTATTAAAAAGCAGCACGTGGTCTTTTAACAAATGTATTTTCTGGGCCTTCGAGGCTGTCTTCTGCCGTACTCCTTGAGTGCTAGGGTTAGGGTAGTCTTGGAATTATCTTTGCAGCCCTGCACTAATCCTGGGCAAGAGGAGGCTATACGGCAGATGCGTGCTTGTTCTGCTGTTGTGGTCCTGGATCACTTATCAGAGTGCCTAAGTGAGCCGCCACCCGCCGAAGCGGACCTCTTGCTCCTTTAGCTCGGTTTTCAAAACATTCTACAGCCCAAGAAGAACATTTTTCCTAGTGTACGAAGCACATTCAAGATCAGTAATATCTTCCGGGCTTTTTCCTACCTTAAGAAAAATAATTTAGTTTTCTGTAATTTTCAATGAAAATGTAATAAATTGCATATTACTAAGAAGAATAACTTTTTTTAAAGTGGGTTGCTTTTTTATTTTTAATATTTATTTATTAGTGCTGGGAATCAAACTCATGACCTCGAGCTTGCCAAGCAGGTGCTATGCCACTGAGCTACATCCCCAAAGAATAACTTCTTCAATACTACTTTCTAAAAAACCCTTCCATCTTTGGCTATTCTCTGACTCTCAGGTGCATGTTAGTTTAAATGTATCAGCTTGGCACGTACGCAGATCTCTTTACAGTGCCGGACTGTGAATAAAGTCAGGTTGAACGAGCTTGTTAATAAATGACGTCATCCCTTTCCATCTCGGAAGTGGACGCTAGTATGTTTTCTCTTCTGATGTTGGGTGGGGCTTCGCTCACAGGAGCTGCTATAAACAGCAGCGGAGCACGGTTGGATTCACGGGGCCAAGCGGTTACCTCTGTCTCCCAACATCAGGCAAGGACCCTTGCCTGTCCAGGTCTCTCCTTTGGGGCAGTGCCCCCAAAGAAGCCCAGCTCACCCCTGTTGCCAGGTGCTCGCTTGACCACTCTTTGATGTACTGCCTGTTTCTAGGACACCTGGATTGCTTTCAGGCTTACCCTCCTGCAACTTCCTAGTACTGTGAGGGACTCAGTCTCCCAAACCCCTGGATATATCCCTGGTCCCAAAGACAATAAGCCACATTTGCCTTTGAAAGATGCTGACTGCTCATTATCCTGGGGAAAATAACAGAAAGAAGAGAAGCACCCCAAAAGCTTCCAAGCCTTCCCAAAACCTAATGCTCTTGGTACTTTTAAGATAAAAGAAAACCATTGGAATTTTCCCTCCAATGAATAAAGCATGAGGGAATGGTAATGATTTTCTGTCATTGCCCCTGCCCCCAGACATGTCTCATGAAGGGACTCTGGCACACACAATGTGTTACTCTGGGCCACCCATCTTGGACTTCCAGCCTGCTGTGTTCCCTTTTGAGGGGCCTGCTCTGTCCCTGAGGTCCCCATGGTGGCACCCCTTCACCCCGTGTCTTCCAGGGGGCATCCTCAGCAGCCCTTAGTGCTAGCACTGACCTGCCTGCCTGCTGCACTGTGGGCTCAAGCTGCGCCCCAGGGCGTTCCCCATGTTAAATGACTGCCCCTCCCTCAGAGCTTCAGAGCTGCAGAGCCCACTTGGTGGGAGCCAAGCACCCAGCTGCTGCGCAGACAGGGGGAGCCTCCTGCAAGACTTGGAATGGGAGGACAAGGCTGTCCCAGTGGAAGGAGGGACAGTTACCCGAAACCCTGCACTTCTTTCCCCAGATTTCTCCACAGAAACCAGAAGACACTGTACTCTTGCCAGGAACCACCTTGTCACCAACTTCTCTCAAATTCACGATCTTGCAAGACCAGGCTGCACTTCACAAATAAATCGCGTTTCCACTTAGAAACCACATTTATATCTTTTTATTAAGCATGGGTGTGTGTGGTTGAAATCCTTTAAGGTGACACAGAGAAGCCCCACCTGGCCCTGCTCACGTTCACTTCCCCTTCATCACGAGGTCCTTTCTGGTTCCAGTAGGGGACAGGAAGGCGATGTTGACCTCGAAGATGGCAGCAGCCCGGGCCTCAACAGTGTTTCTCAGATCACTGCAGGGTCAGACCTTCGTGACTGTTGTCTTGCTCACTGTCTGTAACTTTGTGCTTTTCCTCCATTCATAGACTAGGACTCAGGTCTGGAACAGACTACACAAACACGCTGTGGCTGAGCTCTCCCCCTGCTCCTGTTAGGGGGCAGTGCAAAAGGACCTTCCCTGCACTGGTGCTGAGTGACCACAGGTTCAGCAGGTTACAGCTGCATCCGCTGCGACATCCCAGAGCCTGAGGCACAGAGTGACCCCTGTGCTCTTCCACACGGGGCCTCCCTGGCCTGGAATCCAGGGACTCTTGAGTCCCAGAGTGCCTCTAGCCCTTTCGGTTGTTGGCCAAGTGCCTCATTTTGGGGACTCCTTGCTGTCGCTGGGTCTGGCTTCGTCTCCTTACGCCTTCCTGCAGCCCCATCAGGAGTTCACCGAGTCCTCTCTGGGCTCTGCCTCCCTCTGGTTTCATTTCTGACCTTTGCTTTTGCCTCCAGCAAGGGAAACTTCTCTCTTGCGCTTATGAAAGTCACTGCATTAGATCGGGATATTAATCTCTCTGTCTCGAGGTCTGTAACCTTACTCACATCCCAGTGTGCCTTTGCAGCCCGCGGTGTGACCTTGCTGGGGGCCGTTATCCTGAGGTCCGCATCCCACTTTCCTGAACACACCTAGCTGACCTCCAAGTGCATTTTCAGATCCTTTGTGCCTTAGCCTGAGTGGCTTCTGGACCTCAGTGGCCTTTCCTGAGCTCAGGCCACCATAGCGTTGGGATCACCCCTTGGAGGAACTCTCCACAGTGGCAGTGAGGCATCCCCTGAGCCCTGACCTCCTCCCGCTCAGTTTCCAGTCTGTACCAAGGCGGAGATGTACACGGGATGGAGAGACTCAGAGTAATACAGTGTAAACTGTGTCTGCATGAAGTGAGTAGGATTCACAGGGAAAGCCAGCGGTAGTGAGCCGGTGAAGAAGAGTGGGTGGACGGAAAAGAAGGAGGAGGGGACTCCAGGCAAAGAGCAGAGGGTGGATGGGAAGGTGTGGAGGGTGCTGGGGGGACCAGCAGAGCCGCAGAGGCCAGGGCAGGGCCTGGCGCCGGTCAGAGAGGCCGCCTGCACCTACGCCCCAGGCGCACCACTGCAGACCGAAAGCCCGACCACTGGCACGGTCGGGAAAGGGCCAAAGCTGTAATTAGCACAGAATGAAGCTTCAGTTTAAACTTCAGTTCCCTCATGGAGAGAGACTCTAGCCTAGTTTAAACCAAGCCCTACAGATCAAACATTTGCCTTCAATTTGCTCTTCAATAAGGATTTATTCCTCTAATAGCAAATTTCAATTTGCAAAAGTTCCCACTCATTTTCTCCCATCTCCTTGGGAGCATTTTCCAGTCAAGGAAATAACATCTCCAAGTCGCATTTAAATCTTCAGATGACATTTTTCAGTAAAACAGCACTCTGGGTCTGGCAGGTGTACGGCTTCCCACAGACAGGGGACCGAACAGACTGGCTGACATCAGTCTGTCCCGACATGCGTGTCCGTTAGGGGCTGCTGGCCGCCTCACCCTGCGCACTCTCTCCCCTAGGTCGATGCACATGGAAACATCCTCTTAACGTCGCTGGAGGTCCACAATGAGATGAATGAGGTTGCGGGCGGCGTCGGGGACACCAGGAATTCAGCAATATCCTTTGACAACTCAGGAATCCAGTACAGGAAACAGAGCATGCCCAGGGAAGGGCATGGGCGGTACATGGGAGACAGAAGCATCCCGCACAAGAAGACCCACCTACGGAGGCGGTCTTCGCAGCTCAAAATCAAGATCCCCGATCTCACCGATGTGAATGCCATAGACAGATGGTCCAGGATCGTGTTTCCATTCACTTTTTCTCTTTTCAACTTAGTTTACTGGCTGTACTATGTTAACTGAGTGACTTTACTTGATTTTTCAAAGACTTCATTTAACACTGAGTGAATATTACCCTGCCTGTCAAGTTTTTATACTTGTACACACAGACACACACGCAGACACACACATATATACATACGCAATTGTATATATATGTGAACTTTCTCAGCATATATATAAAATACACGTGTATATGAGGATGTATGTGTATATGTTTATACACACAGGTGTAAGGACCCATGTGTATGTCTCTATATACACATACATAGAAACATTTTGCAGCTATGGACAATTCAACACAGAATGCATATTAAAGAACGTCATAGTTTTTTCTTTTTTAATTGAAAGGGACAAGTATCGTCTAAATATTATGCCTTGAGAATGAGGGCGTGAAACACAGTATCATCCCAGAAGTGTGTCTTTTATTATCATACGTTAGGCGTTTTAGTTGAAAACTCAGAAAGACATTCTTAGTTAATTCTCAGAAGCTCCTACAGTGGTATTGCTAGTTTGATACAAGTCACAACTTTGGACCCTGTTTTCAGTTTACTGAGCAAAGGCTTGTTGGCTTTCCTGGCGATGGGTTTGTTTTCGTCAGGTAAACTTTTTCTGCAGTGGTTTAGCGGATGAAGTGTTTACCTGTTGTCTTAAACGTAGATAGAACCCACATGGATGTCTGCACGTCCATCTTTTGAAAACTCATCGGGAGTGAGTGGCATCTCCTTGTAAGCATCCAACACCCAGTGCGTGTAGGGTTTTTCTGTTCACTTGGAGTGGATCCAGCTTAACTGTCGTGTGGGAACACAGTGGCATGTTTTGGTACTGACACTTCAATCCCTGAAAATGTGCTATGTCTCATCCAGATTTCTAGGCCTGATAGCTAGCAGAAGGCATAGACGTCTCAGGTTCTTTGTTATTCTAAGGTAAAACCATCTAGGATGATTTCCCCCTTGAAGTTATGTTATCAGTCATTCTTACAACATTGTATGTTAATATAAAATATATTTGCCTAGTATGCATACATATGTATATTTACCAAGATTTTATTTCTTATGCTTGCTATCATGGCAGCATGCAATGTCATATTTTTCATTATGTGATGTAACTACTTTCTGTTATCTAGAAATTAAGATTGAAGCTAAAACACTTCTACTGTTCGCTTCCAGAAACTAAGAAACATCCTCATGCCTTTATTTTGTATCTGACTTATCTCATAAGCACATCCAACTACTCCTAGGCCGACTAGGAATCTGCAGGAACACGACCAGTACATACCACGCCTCACCCCACGACCCGTGACCGTTCTCTGAGGCCAAGGAGGGCAACCTGACAACAAACACAGTCACCTTGGGTTCCTTCTGATCCACAGCCTCGTCAGTATTTGGACTTTTTAAAGCTTGCAGAAACAAGACCAGGTGCACCGGTTTCATAGACGCAACCTTAACTTACTATTTAGATGAGATCTTTCTAAAGAAAAAAAGATGATATATTTTTTGTAAACAATATTTCTATCACAGGCATCCATAAACTGGTGTGACTGCAGTTGTGCAAACAGGTGTCACAGTGAAGTTAAGCATTTGGAGAACAAGATAAACAGCAAAATATGCAGGAGAGAACTGCTAAATTAATACTTTATCAGAAAATGCCACATACGCCTCACCCTCTCTGTTCTGTTCCAAGTGAACGGCCAAAGCCCAGCCCAGTACTCGAACGCCCGGCACTGCTGTCTCTGTGTAGGGACAGGCGCCCTCTCTGAGGATGTGTGTGGTGTGAACTGTCACTGTGAGCCGGCCACGACTTGCTTTTGTTTTTACGGCCGCAGGAGCTCTTCGCTTGTGGGAGTCTGTGACAGTTCAAAACCCACCATCAGATAAACCGTAGCCCACACAAAGATCACGCTAGGTCAGTTACTATTCTTACGTCCCTTGCTCTCCTTCACTCCTTTTCTCTTCAGTGTCTTCTGCCAACTGCTGCTCTCTGACTTTATTTTCTCTAGAGACATGCCAGGGACTTCTTGGCCTTTGGCGTTTCTCTGGCAATTTTTTTCATGGGTAACAATGGCGGTGGCGGGGGGGATTCTAAAAGTTAAATAGTTCGGGAATAAACCTTGTAAGTGGCCTTATCATTGTTAATATGTTAAAGAAAAAAAAAGAGACATTTGTGAAGACTTTATCCCTTTCAATGCTTCAGGTATCTTTTTCTGTATCCAGTAACTCAAGGTGTGAGCTTCTCATTAGAAGAGGGACCCCAAAATGCAAAGGACACAGGGAAAGCAGCAGATGGTCAGTCCGGTGTATAATGTGTACTGTTAGAACTGTGACATCCATTTCTTTCTGGGAGAAAAACGATTCAAAACTTTTTGATGCATAGTTGAGGTACTCAAATATGAAAGCAAAGGCCCCCGAGGGCTCAGGAGGGCAGCAGTATACTCCCCGAGATTTTCTGGATATAAATTTGCATGGTATAGTCATAATAGCTTTTGAGCTTTTTATATGCATTTGGCACCAAGACTGGGGATCCACAACTTTGTAGACACTGCGATGAAGTTAACATAATAGCTATACTATAAATAGTGTTTGTTACCACACACACACACACACACACACACACACACACACACACACACATTCTACAAAACAAACTTTTTAAGATCCTTGGGTATGTGTTTGCTTTATTCCATTTCAGAAGAAAATTACTTTTCTTCTAATAAAATTATTTTATAGGTTTCCATTTTTAAAAGTTGTGAGAAGCATTGAGAAGAGAACTCTGGCTGTGCCAACAGAAGAGACTTTGGTGTGATTCTGTCCTGTCACAATGACCTCTCTTCCCCCACAGTAGTTACCTAAGCCAGTGAGTGGGCTGTGTGTTGGGGAGCTCAGAACCCCGACCTCAGACGTTAATGGGAGGTGGCTGTCACCATGCCAAGACCTCTGGAGGAAAGACAGCAACATTTAAGTTGGGATCCAATGAGATTTCTTTCTTCACAACTGAAAGTAATAAACCATTCACTTTTCAGCAGTCCTGTCTTTCTAGAGTGCTTCACAGGGGCTCAGAATGTACACAAAAGTCTCATGATGACAGTCTGTGATCGCTTATCCTCAGATATGTCTGAGGCAACTCAAGAACCCCCCCCACACACACACACACGCCCTGCACACAGTCCTGCAGAGAAAGACTGATCAAACTCGAACCATCTTTAGTGCAAGTGTTAATCCTGCTCACCAACCCCAGGACTGTGGAGGGGCTTCACTGTCTATACCATAGAAATTCATTTCTCCCCAATCCGTAGTGAACTAGGAAGGAGGTCATGATAATATTCCCACTAGGATCTAGAGTGACATGTTCTGGAGTCTCATGAGTCATTGTGCCAGCATGGGAACCTTGATATCTTGGATCCCTCCTATCAAAGGCACTTCCCTCCTGTCCATGCACGTAATTAACATCGTCTTCATCAAGGAGACCATCTAGAGGTGACACCATACACATAGGGCCTGGCTTTAAGGGGACAGACACATGGCAGGGTAGATGTTCATGTTTAGCATCTACTAAATAATCCATTGGTGTTTGTCCCACAGTGTTTTCTAAAAAGAAATGTGTCTAACTTCACATCTCCTGGCTTGAAAGTTAAACCGCTACAAAACTCTTATTTTAACCTTCTGCCTGAAAATCAGTTCATATTTCCGGCCATTTTGTGTAAGCAAAAATTGAGAAGTTGGTGAAACTTTGTGTCACTCTCAGAATGGACTCGCTTTCCTCTCACCGTGAGCCCCCCATCAGAGTAACGTTGAAACTGGGGGCAAAGAGCTGCCCAGGTGGATTAAAATTTCCCAGGACACTAGCTGGTGTGCCTTGGATTGATTACCTCTTCTACTGCATTGAAAGGTGCCATGTTTTCCTGAAACACTAAATTCCCAACACCTGGGTAAACTGCACCCTCCCAGAGAGTGGCTCACAAGCTCTGCTAAACCACGCCTCTCCCTAGAGACAGCCCTGAAACCTGTTTTGTCATTCTTGTGTCATTTTTTTCTACTTCGCAAGTCAGTGTGTGTTCAAGGTAAGTACAGGATCACTCGAGTAGGAATAGATGGTTGCTGTCAAGATCAATTCCCATGTTGATTTCATTTCACTGTAAAGATAAATTTAAACCCGGTTTTGCTTAAGCACATTGATGTAATTTTTTGGTATTATTTGACATGAAAAACAAAACAGCAAAATTGAGTGATAGATATAATATGAAACTTGTTGATGAATGAATTCAAATTTATTAAAAAAGGACTAATTGACTTAAATGGAAAGACTGGTTTTTTTTCCCCACCCTCGGCTCTCTTGTTGAAATGTTGTGGTTGTTTTAACCCCAGTCATTTTTACTCACATAGGATGCTTTTGGCTTACGCTGCAAGTGAAAGAAGCCCAAAGCTGATGCCTAAGAGACCAACTGAACCGTGACGTTTAAAAAGGAAGTCCCAATTTATTCTGAGCTTCAGGGATCAACTAGACACACAGCTCTCTAGCTGGTATTAAAATGAGTGTTTTAAGTCAGAAACATTGTTACAGTGAAGGCCGAGGACTCAACCACATTTGGCTAAAGTCGTGTTGGTCCTTCTTTGCTATTATAAGGTGATTTCCCTGGTTTCCTTTCCAGCAAGAAACTAAGAAGCAATGCCTTGAATAAATCCATGAATGAATGATCTGTGGACACCTCAGTCAGACAGAACTCAGCGGGAATATAGTCTGTAGGCTCTCAGGTTGTTAGACCATCTGCTAACACCTTAAGAGAAATCCCGCAGTGGTTTTAAATCTCACAAAATGGAGGTATTTAGTAGCAAGGTTACTTGCAACTGCATGAACAAAACAATGCAAATTCTTCCATAATTCATTACGGGTTCGCTCCCCTCCCCCACTCTGTGGACACATCTTTGAGTTCTCTGCTCTACCATTCTGTGGATGTGTTTCATATTGATTCTTTGTGGGTGGTAGAAAGGAGCGTGGGAGACATTTCTCCCCACCTCGCTTGGCTAAATACTGTCTGTCCCAGCTAGCAATTCTAAATGGCCAATAACTGCAAACGAGAGAATTTGGAAATTCTGACCAAAGATGTAAAATTTTCTTCTCAAAAGTATCCTACTTTGGGCTGCAGGAAGAGGCCATCCTAAATGTGGGGTCCAGTTGTCCCCAGAGAGCCCCTCTGGAATGCCTGCTCCCCTGGCCCACAGCTGCTGAGGCCCTTGTTTGTAGGTGGCTCCAATTTATAATTCTCTAACTTTCTTTTCACAAGCTCCTAAGAGATAGGGATTTTCAACTCTTGTTGGAAAGAGAACATTATTCTGCAGAGAAGACTGTGTCTTGGGTCCTCTGATATTTCCCACAGGTAAGGTCTTGGATGCCACATTGGATGGACCATTAATGGCTAAGAATGAGGTGCTCTTAGCATTACTGGGACTCAAACTCTGCGACTGACCGTTGCTTCTCTTTATAAACAGATTCCACTTAGATTCCATCAGCAAACGAAGCAGGGGATGCTTGTGTGTGAAATGTAATTTACTGGGGCTGAGAGATGGCTCCGTAGTAGAGTCCAGATGCTGGGCTCTGGGTTCAATCTTCAGCCAAAATAAAAACCAATGAAATGGAATGGAACGGAACAGAATAGGACAGGACAGGACAGGACAGGACAGAATAACTTGAAACAGGAAATTAATCACCCAGGCCCTGAGAAGCAGAAGATTGATGGTCAGACACTCTCTACACAGCACGATACATTCCCACTTCACTAGGTTGGGCACGTCTCTCAACTCATTTTCTGTATGGGGCGCAGTGTACTGTTTCAGTTTTTGCATATTGTGTGTACTGATCAAATCAGGGCGATTGGCATTGTCGTATCTTTCTCATTTCTTAATGCTTGGAGCCCTCATGGTCCTCTCTTCTAGGGCGTCCTAAAATATGTAATAGGTTAGCGTCAACTATAGCCACCCTGTCGTGCTGCAGATAACCAGAACTTCCACCACCTTTGAGACCAAGTTTTTAGGTTCTACCTTTGAGAGAGAAAGAGCATCTGGTAACTGTCTTTGTGTCTGGCTAATCTCACTTAACAAGTCTTGCAGTGCTAACCATTTTACCCCAAGTGACAGCATTGCATTCTTTGATGGGTAAGCGCTATGCCATTGTGTGTCTGTACCACATTATCTTTGTCTCTTCGCTCACGGGGAGGGCACCAGGCTGGCTCCACATCTTGTCTGTAATCAGCATGGCTCCCCATCATTCGCAGAGAGTCCCCTCCAGGCTGCCCAGGCCCAGACCCGCAGCCACCGAGGTGCACATTCGCTCTGACTTCCTCTTTGTTAGCTGATGAAGGATGGGGATTTCCCACTGTATTTTTCTTTCTCCTTTTCCACCTCCGACCTTTTGTGAGCTGTAACTATCCTTTTACATCATCAAGTTTAAAAACATTTACACTCAGCTAGAAATCTGAAGCTATGCGTTATTTTATATTATGTTTATAGACATTGCCTAAACGTTGAGAAATGTAAGCAACTCACGCAACTAAGCTGCCCTTGGGAAGTACCATGAAAGGCTTAGTAGTTTGATCAACTGCATGAAGATAATTGAGTAGCAAACTCAGGAATGCTGTAGTTTTTCTGCCAAGAATACAGGCTTGTGGATGCACGTGAGAAAAGGTTGCCGTGTCAGTACTACTGTGCAGACGAGGAATATTCAGCACTCCGCTTCAATTCAGCCTAAACTAAGAGTTGACAACTAACTAGCAACTTCCATGTCACTGGAATGACTTAAATATGACTCAAAGCAAAACTAGACGGTTTGCCTGGGTTTCTTTTCTACCTTTAGAAGGTCGGTGTCTCAAGCCTAGGCTACTTGCAGGAGAAACTTTCTGATATTTGAGACAGATTAATTACTACATCCTTTCAGTTGAACATAATGTATGTTTGTGTGATGATTTTCCTAGGTTTATGTATGATTTTCCTAGGTTTAATTGCTCCCTTCACCTACAAATACTTGTTCTGTTTTCCCATGCTTTTTTTCTTAAAGGATCTTAACAGGTCATCTTTCCAACATAATCTAGGTTCTAGGTTTGTTTTATCTGTTAACTGTGTGTATTAGGAGGCTTATTTTCTCTTTTGAGAATTCTATTGCATTTTTTGAAAAGAATTTTTCTGAGTTAGAAAAGACATACAAAAACTGCATATACTTAAAGCACATGATTTAATAAAAGTTGACTCATGCAACCATTTTCACTCACCCCCAAAGCGTGTGCCAGCCACTTTATCACACCTGCAATCACTCCGTTCCTGTCTCTGGGCAAAAACTTATTAACTTTCAGCAACACGTATGTGAGAGACTGGTTTGAATTTTCTGCAGCAGAACAGAAGTAAAGCAAACACGGTCGACAGATATCCGGGTTGTTTCCATCTTGATTCTTATTTAAAAGCTACTCTGAACACCTACGTGCAAGGCTTTTTTCATGCACCTATGTTTTAATTTTTCTTGGGTAAGTACCTAAGAGTGGATTTTATGGCAGCTTATGTTTAATATTTTATGAAACTACCAGTGCTTTCCCAAGATGTCATCACCGTTGTACATTTCACCATCATCTGTAAAAATTCCAGGTCCCCCATGGCCTCTCTGACACTATCCACAACAACTAAAGTCAGCCACTTTATTTTTAATTATTTTAAGTGTTGTAACTCTTCCTGGTTTCAGTTTTCACTGTTTCATTACTCAATGATGCTGAGCTTTTTTCTTCATGTTTCCCTTCTGCCTGCCTTTGTTAACAAAAGGTCCCTTTAAATCTCTTTTCTAACTGTTTTCTACTTGTGTCTTGAAAGTAATTTCTTATGTATTTTGGTTGCACCTCAGATTCTCTTTTCTTTCCAACAGTTTCTTCTCATTTCCCAGTATCTGTTGTGCATTTACTCTTTCAGCTTCTCACACCAGGAAGACAACATGATGTTTACTCATGTGAATCTGATTTATTTCACGTATGAGTATGTTCTCAGGTTGCATCCATTTACCTTTAAAAGTCTCATGTTTATCTTTCTTTGTGGCTGAATAATGCTCTATTGAATAAAAGGATCACATCTTTTTTATCCATTCCTCAGCTGATGGGCATTTGGGTTGTTTCCAAGATTTAGCTATTACAAAATGTACTAACATAACCATGGGTGCACATATACTACTGTGGTCTGATGTTTTTAGTTCTTACAGGAAGATACCCAGAAGGTTATCTCATCTCAGTCAAACAAGTCATCTATACCTACTTTTTGAGGAATCTCCATACTGATTTCTACAGTGGTTTCACCAGCGTACACTCCCACCAACAGTGAAAAAGTGTTCCTTTTTCCCCACAGTCCCGCTAAAATTTGTTTTTGGTTGATTTCTTGATGATAGCCATCCTTTCTGGGATGAGATGGAATCTCAGTGTTGTTTTAATTTGCATCTCTCAAATGACTATGATGTTCAACAGTTTTCATATATTCATTTGAAATTTATATTTCTTCATCTGAGAAGTGTGTGTTCATCTCAGATGCCCATTTTGAATTGGGTCTTTGAATTTGGAGGAACTGATTTTTTTCAATTCTTTATATATTCTAGATACATCAAGCCCTTTATCTGAAGGCCAATTTGCTATTTCCCACTTGCTGTGCAAAAGCTCTATTAGGATGAGATCCGAGGTAGTATTCCCACTGTGGGGACCATATACTTCTGGAACATGTTATTCTTTGCTGAGTGGTGCTGTTCCATGCATTGCAAGATGTTTATCATGCTTGACCTTTGCTCATTAGATTCCAGTAGAATAAGACATGTTTTGCCCCTACACACACACACACACACACACACACACACGCATTTCCCCTACTCCAACCCCCATGTCTACAGCCTGGGTTGTAGCCACCAGACATTGCCAAATGTCCCCTGGGGGAAAATTAGTTGATAACATCTTTTCTGAGTCTTTTAGAATTTCTCTCAGCAATAGATTTTGGCTTTAAAACTAGAGATTTTGCACATATTCTGTCAGTTTTATTCCTGTTGTATTATATTTTGGGTGATATTGTAAATGGTGATTTTCAACTTTTAATTTTTATTTTGTGTTGACCTTGTTCTTGGAATGTTACTAAACTCACTAATTTATTCTAGTAGCATTTAAAAATAGATGCTATCAGGTTTTCTACAATACTGACTGTACTTTGTTGATGTTTCTTAAATTATTGTGCCAGAAAAGGGCCTCAATACAATAACAAAAATGGCAAGGACACTCCTGCATGGTTCTTGACCTCAC